GAGGGAGTAGGGGGCTGGGGCCTGGACTGGGTACTAATCCCTCTTCACACAACCCCTCAGGGGAGACCCGCCGCATCCTCTCAGTGCAGCCCACGTATGACTGGACGTGCTTCAGCCACTCCCTGCTGAATGTGTCTCCAATGCCGGTGGAGTCATCGCCCCCACTGCCCTGCCCTACCCCTTGTCACCTCCTGCCCAACTGTACCTCCTGCCTGGACTCCAAGGGTGCGGACGGGGGCTGGCAGCACTGTGTCTGGAGCAGCAGCCTCCAGCAGGTACTGTACCCAGAGCGGGCTGGGGCTAGAGCAGGGCCAAGTCTGCCTCCTCTCTGCCCTTAGCACTAACCTTTCTTCCACTACCTCCCCCTCTGTCCTACTTCTTTCTCCATCTTTCTAGCTCTAGTCCCACAATTGTGCCTTCTCTCTCTTCACACTTTGTCTTCTCTCAGCCCAACATCTCTTGTTAGTCTTTCTTCCCTTCTGGCCTGTGAATCTCCCTCTTGTGTCTTCTCACGATACTCTGTGTCCCCTTCCCAGACTCCCCAGCCCCTGCATCTCTCCAGCTCTTGGTCATGGTCTCCCGTCTTCATCCTATTCCATAACTCTTAATACCATCTCTCCCCTCTGCCCCCAAACCTTTTCTGCTTCTCGCCTCCATCTCTTTCTGTCTCTGCTTTTGGAATCTTTTGGTTGTAAGAAACAGACCTCCTCGAGCTGGTTTTATTGTAAGGAATTGGAAGCATCTGATGGGATTTGAGAGTAGGAAGTCCTGCTGCTCTATCAGTCTCGGACCACATGGAATCTAATCTCAGCTCTTCTCCACACATCTCTCTCCTCTGATTTCTTTTGGCTTCATCATCAACATGCATGGCCTCAAATGGCAGCCCTTGACTCTGAGTCTGTATATATGACTTTCTAATTCCAGAGACTGTGGTCATCTCTGTGTTCATTGGTTAGTTCATGTTCTCCAGGAAAGGCTCTGACTCAGCTCATCAATTCAGTGTCCAGCCTTGGTTCAATGAGATGTGACCAGGGAAGTGTAGGATCACATGGTTCAAACATGGCAGTTCAAGCCCACCCCTTCATCTGTGGCTCTAGGGTGGAGGGATGGTTCTTTCTTTTTTTAATCATATTTTATTGTGTTTTCAATGAAGGTTTACACAGCAGTTTAGGTTCCCATTCAACAATTTCTGCACAAATTGTTCAGTGACGTTGGGCACATGCTTTACAATGTGTGAACGTTCTCAATATTTCTGTTCTCGTCGTTTCCTTTCTGTTAATCTCGTTTCCCTGCTGCCTTACATTCTCATCTTTGTTTTAAAGTAACTGTTGACTGTTCAGTCTCATATAGATGATCTTTTAAAGGAGGAGAGATGATTCTTGCAGAAGTGGGTTTGGTCTGGGTAGGCACCATATGTGTCTGTTACAGTCCCCCCCTTGACTGCCCAGCGCATATTCTTTCGTTTCCATGAAGTCTGCCTAGCATGATTTAGCTGTCTCAGCGGCAGACACAAAGTCATCCACCCCACTCTGGTAGGAGGCAACATAGATTCCCCACTGCTGTCACTAGACCAGAATTCTGAGTCTCTGATTCCCACTGATGTCCACTCCTCCTCTAATTGTGCAAGACCCAGTTGAGGTCTGACTGTACCTCATTTTCCCCCTTTTGATCAGGATTCATCTATTGATTCCTTGATCAAAATGTTCAATAATTGTATTGGCTCAGATTGTTTGAAAACACCACCGTGCAGGCCAAACATGATAGGTGTGCAGGTCGGACCTGTTACGGTAGCTTAAGGGCTGCCAGATTTTAACCAGCTGGTATTGTTCGTTTTAATGGCTTTGGTGTCAGAGACTGGGGCAGGCTGTGGAATGTCCTCTTCCTTGGCCTCCTTCCTTTCCTCCTGACTAACTGCTAACTTCCTAACTTCCCTCCAGACTTCCTTTCTATCTTCCTACCTTTCTTTCTTCAACAAATTCTTTACTGAGTGCCTTCCTCATCCAGGCACTTTGCTAGCCTCTGTGGACAGGACAGCGGATAAGCTAGGGTCCTGCTCTCAGGACTTACATTCATACATGTCTTCCAGGAACACAGGAAATGCAGTTTAGGGTGTTGGACGTCATCACATTGGCCCACGAGGGAGGGCAGAGCAGAAGCTGCCTGTTCTCCAGCTTCTCTGCCGCCTCCCAGATTTCCCCATCATCTGCCAATCGGTGTACTAACTTTAGAGCTAGACATCCACCCTGGCAGAGCATTTGCTCTTGGCAGTTCAGCAAGCCTCGGCTTGTTGCTGGCCCCAGCCCTCAGTGGGCTCAGCGCTCCAGCCACAGCAATCAGGGTTTCTATTTCAGGATTCTGTGGTCGCTCTGCTGTCTTCTGAGGGCTTGCAGACAGACAGCCCAGATTAATCTCTTTCCTTTTATACTTTACTTGAGACTCAAGCAGCAAATAAAGTGCTCTTCTCTGCCAGGCAAGTCCCTGCGAGTCTGGACCTCACTTGTGCACGTTGTCCAAGTCCGGAGACTAGTAAGCGGTGACTCGAGAGTTACTGCAGGGCCCCTAGCTGAGGACTCTTCAACCTCCCAGCCTAGGGTGGGAGAATCCTTGTTGCCCCAACAGCCAGGTCCACATTTCTGAAAGTGGCCATGACTTGCAACCCCACTCCTGATACTAGTTTCTGTCTCTCAGGGATTATTTGGTTGTAAGAAACAAGTTTCCTTAGCTAGTTAGGTGAAGGGCACTCACCACACCAGTTTGGTGGTACCTTGTGGAACTAAGGGGTAGAAAGTACAGGCAGGCCTCACAAGGGACTGGAGATGGAGCCCAGACAGCTGTCTCTCCGTCTGTCCGTCTGTCTGCCTGGGGAGCATAGTTCTCATCTCTGCCTCTCTCTGTATCTGCTCTTGTCCTGCCCCTCCACGTTCTCTCTGTTTCTCGTCGTGTCCAGCACTCAAACAGCCTCTCGAGCCCAGGTCTATGTGATCTTCTTTCTTTCTTTTTTATAATTTATTTTTGTTGTTGTTGAGGATGCACAAAGCAAAATATACACCCATTCAACAGTTTCTGTGAGTACAGTTCAGTGACATTGACTACATTCTTCGAGTTGTGCAACCATACTCAGTCTCCTTTTCTGAGTTGTTCCTCCCTCGTTAACATAAACTCACTGCCTCTAAGGCTCCTATCTAATCTTTCAAGTTGCTGTTATCAATTTGATCCCATATAGATAGATCTTACAAGAGTACAATGCTCAAGGCAGACATTCTTTACGAGTTAAAACTAAAGTATTAGTTGGTTTTAAGACTTCAGGGGATATTTCTCCATGATCTTCTATTCTCAAGGGCCTCCCTTGCCCGACTCCCAATCTTGACTTCTAGTCACACATGCTGGAGCACGAAAATGTGATTCTCCCAGCTAGTGCCCACCTTGGTCCACTCGGCTGTGGCTGGGGGATGAGATCTCAGAGAAGAGGGTACAGTCTGGGAAGATGTCCAGAATGTGTTGCCTGACCCTCTTTCCCTGCCTCTCTCCTGCCCCCTATTCTCTCCTTCCTGGTTCAGTGCCTGAGCCCCTCCTACCTACCCCTGCGATGTATGGCCGGAGGCTGCGGGCGGCTGCTCCGGGGCCCCGAGAGCTGCTCCCTGGGCTGCGCTCAGGCAACCCAGTGTGCCCTGTGCCTGCGGCGCCCCCACTGTGGCTGGTGTGCCTGGGGGGGCCAGGATGGTGGTGGCCGCTGCCTGGAGGGTGGACTCAGCGGCCCCCGTGAAGGTGAGAGGGTTTGGGGTGGGGTAAGAGGGAGCTGGCCCCTGGCTGGGGTCTGGTGCAGAGAACATGGGGAGCTCTGGGGCTGTCTCAGAAGCGGGCTCAGAGGAAGTAGGAATGAGGACCCTGGGTAGCTGAGGGGGATTCAGAGGCCCCCCCCTTCAGGTGAAGCCCTGTATCCCCGGTGCCAGGGCTGACGTGTGGGCGTCCTGGGGCCTCCTGGGCCTTCCTGTCCTGCCCTCCTGAGGACGAGTGTGCAAATGGGCACCATGACTGCAACGAGACTCAGAACTGCCACGACCAGCCCCATGGCTATGAGTGCAGCTGCAAGACGGGCTACACCATGGACAAGTGAGGCTGCGGGCTGGGCCAGCACGGGGCCGGGGGAGAGGGGCCGGGCCGACGGAGGGCTGTGGGCCGGGAGAGTCTGGGGAGCAGTAAAGGGGGAGATGTAGACCAAAGCCTGGCGGGAAAAGGAATCCAAGGCATGAAGAGGATGGGCTAGATTGGGAGGGAAGGGACGCTGGGCTAGACTGGGGAGGAGTGTGTTTACTAGGGGACCCCTGAGAGGAGAGGGAGTATGGGCCAGACCCTGGAGGGAGGACGCTGGAGCCCAAAGGATGACAGTTATGGGACAGACCAGGGATGCGCGACTAGCAGGAGAAGAGGGTGATGGGTGGTGGGCTAGGCCAGGGTGCCGTGAGGACGGTGGACCACACACTGGGTGCAGGAGGGGCTGCTGTGGTTGAAGGGGCCCGGCAGCCTGCTCTGACCCCTGCGCCCCCCACAGCATGACGGGGCTGTGCCGCCCCGTGTGTGCCCAGGGCTGTGTGAACGGCTCGTGCGTGGAGCCCGACCACTGCCGCTGCCACTTCGGCTTTGTTGGCCGCAACTGCTCCGCGGAGTGCCACTGCAACCGTCATAGCGAGTGCGCCGGCGTGGGGGCGCGCGACCACTGCCTGCTGTGCCGCAACCACACCAAGGTGGGCCCGCCCGGCGCCCCGGCCCTCAGCCCGGACCCTTCCTGGCCCTTGGCCGTGTTATGCCAGGGGTGGGAAGAGATGGCAGAGCTCTGTCCCAGGGAGGTGTGAGAAGACTTTGGGGATGCCATCTGGGTTCGTATCACAGGGGGCCTGCTCCGGGATAGGGACACAGTCAGCGCTGGGCTAGAGAGGGCGGTCACATGCAGGAGGATTCGGGGTGGTGCAGGGAAGGACTTTGAGCTCAGGAGTTTGGGCTGAGGGCAGTGAGCGCCCTGTCACTGGAAGCTTGCAAGTGAAGGTGGAGGCTGATACCAGGCAGGCTGGTGTTACCCAGACCAGGTGGCCGAGCCCTGCTGCCTCCCGTGGTGCTCGCAGAACCCACCCCACCCTGCCTTTGCACCCTCCCGTGAATTGCCGACTCCTCTCACCTCCCTGTCCCCGGTCCCCAGGGCAGCCACTGTGAGCAGTGCCTCCCGCTGTTTGTGGGTTCAGCTGTTGGGGGCGGGACCTGCCGGCCCTGCCACGCCTTCTGTCGTGGCAACAGCCACGTCTGCGTCTCCAGGAGGGAGCTTGAAATGGCCAGGAGGGAGCCAGAGAAGTATTCGCTGGATCCAGAGGAGGTGAGAAACTTGGGGCCTGGACTCCTGGGTTTGAGGCAGGAGAGGGCTGGGGCCTGGACTCCTGGGTCTGAGGGAGGAGGGGGCTGGGGCCCAGACTCCAGAGTCCTGGGGGCCTAGACTCCTGGGTCTGAGGGAGGAGGGGGGTGGGGGCCTGGACTCCTGGGTTTGAGGGAGGAGAGGGCTGGGGCCTGGACTTCTGGGTCTGAGGGAGGAGGGGGCTGCGGCCTGGACTCCTGGGTTTGAGGGAGGAGGGGGCTGGGGCCTGGACTCCTGGGTTTGAGGGAGGAGAGGGCTGGGGCCTGGACTCCTGGGTCTGAGGGAGGAGGGGGCTGGGGCCCAGACTCCAGAGTCCTGGGGGCCTGGACTCCTGGGTCTGAGGGGGGAGGAGGTTGGGGCAGGACTCCTGGCTCTGAGGGAGCAGGGGGCTGGTCCCTGCCTATTTGTAATCACCTTGTCCTTCCTTGACCAGATTGAAAATTGGGTAACAGAGGGCCCCAGTGAAGATGAGGCTGTGTGTGTGAACTGCCAGAATAACAGCTATGGGGACAAATGCGAGAGCTGCCTCCACGGCTACTTCCTCCTGGATGGGAAGTGCACCAAGTGAGAGGGGAGGGGGCCCAGGACCCTCGCCTTCCTGACTAGAAATCGCTCTGGGAGCCAGGCTCCCCTCCTCAGGCCTCGGTCCTCAGTCAGGAGAGGATGAAATCCCAGGGAGCCCCCAGGCTGGCGCGGGGGGAGTAAGCATGACCCAGATGGGAGAGAAGATCTCTCACCTCAGAGGCCAATGCTAAAACCCAGGCCACAGAGCAGCCCGTATCGAGACTGATGGGCAAAGAGGGAGAGAGCACTGCTGAGGAAAGAGTCTTGAGGTTACCTCCTCACCCCATCTCCTTCCTTCTAAACGTTCAGTGAACTCTGGAGTCATTCTAACCTGGCTTCAAATCCTGGACTCTGCCACTCAATGGCTCTGTGGCCTTGGGCAAATGGCTTAACCTCTGTGAGCCTCAGTTTCCTCTGAGGCAGTGGCATGGGCTCAAACTCATGTGTATAGCATCCAGCCTGGGACCTTGCAAGTTGCGGGAGCTCTGTAGTCACCTTCCACTTCCCCTTCTTCCAGATGCCAGTGTAACGGCCACGCGGACACGTGTAACGAGCAGGACGGGACAGGCTGCCCGTGTCAGAACAACACAGAGACGGGCACGTGCCAGGGAAGCTCCCCCAGTGACCGCCGGGACTGCTACAAGTACCAGGTGCGGCTGGAGAAGCTAGTTATGGCCCAAGGACCCCCCACCCCAGGAGGTCAGAGATGGGATGAGGTAGCTGGGCTTGGACAGGACCTACAACATGGTTCTGATGTCTGTGGTCTTGGGATCAAGTTTAGTTTGATAGACTGATCGTGAGCCCCAGTCAGTTTTAGGCCCTGGACAGTGATGCTGGGACCTGTATATGAGCCTTTGCCCTCAGGGGGCTCTCACACTGGAGGGAGGGAGACTCCATTACAGATAGTCACAACTTGAAAGTTGCAAATGCCAGAAAATTCATAGTAGCTTCAGCAAAAAGGCAATTTACTGGCTCTTAAAACTGAGATCTGGAGTCTGCCTTCAGGCATGGCTGCATCCAGGTGTTCACACAATGGCATGCGATTCTCTCTCTCCCTGCATCTTGACCCTGCTTTCCTCTGTGTTGGCCTCTTTCTCAGATGGATTCTCCCCAAGTGGTAGCCCCTGTCTGAATGACTTGGGGCTAACGGGATCTCAGGTTGGTTCTAAGACCCAGATTCAAATTCCCCTTGGGATGATTTCCTTTCTTCTCTTGAAGGGAGCTCCTAAAGCACCTGTTTTCGCCACCTGGCTGGTTGCCATGTTGTAGGCTTGCCTCCCATGGAAGGCGTAGCTCATGCTGCCTCCCTAGAGCATATCCCTGCTTCCTACCCACCTTCCCTCTCCAGTTCTAGAGGAAAGAGAAAATCCCTTTCTCCCCTCTGTCTCCCCCATCTATCTGCAGAAATATCATACCTGCAGAGATGCAACTCCCCCCAAAATAGTGACAGAGTTTGACAAGCTTTAAAAACGAAACCAAACCCATTGCCATTGAATTGATTCTGACTTGTAGCAACCCTATAGGACAGAGTAGAACTGCCCCACAGGGTTTCCAAGGCTGTAATTCTTTACAAAAGCAGATTGCCACATTTTTCTCCCATGGAGCAGCTGGTAGGTTTGAACTGCCGACCTTGAGGTTAGCAGCCAAGCATTTAACCACTGCTCCAGCAGGGCTCCGTTAAATCCACTGCTGTAGAGTCGATTTCAACTCATAGTGACCCTGTAGGCCATAGCAGAACTGGCCCATAGGGTTTCCAAGGCTGCAAATCTTTACGGAAGCAGACTGCCACATCTTTCTCCTGTGGAGCAGCTGGTGGGTTCTAACCGCCAACCTTTCAGTTAGCAGCCAAGCGCTTTAACCCCTGCACCACCACATCTTACTGACCCCTAAATGTTAATTTCCATCCTGGACCAGAATTTTTGCTTTCTTGATACGTAATCAAAAGGCCTCTTGGGCTTTACTGAAACAGAGAGCCCCAGAGATGAAGTCAGACCTCCTCCTCTAGCAGCTCTGTTGGCAGCTCCAAAGTAGCAGTTTCTGCTAATAATAATAGCGGCAGTAGCTATTCTGTAGGGAGTGCTTGCTACGTGCCAGGCAGTGTGCCAGGCAGCGTGGAGCTGGGAGCTGTGCTGTGGATGCGGTGGAGACAACACTGAGGCTATGCTGGGGCCTTGATGGGGCACAGACACGTTAACCCACTGATAGTCAAACGAGGCTCAGAGACGGGAGATGACCTGCTGAGGGCAGGCCGCCAGGCAGAGTTTGTAGCCTGTGTTGGACCCTGCTCTAATCCCAGAGCCTGAGCTGTTTCCACTGGGCTACAGCAGTCATAATAGCTGTCACTCATTCATTCATCACATTAATTGAGCACCCACTGTAGGCCGTTCACCATGCTAGACGCTGGGGACACAGCAGGGAACAAAACAGCCAACATGCTCTGGCCTCAAGGCATTTACATTCTCATGGAGGAATTGTGGAGGCAATGAACAAGTGAATAAAGTGAGAAGTCCAGTGTGTTAGATGGTGATAAATGGTAAGGAGAAAAATTAAGCAGAAAAGGGGGGGCCAGAAGTGTGGGGGACTGCAGTGTTAGATAGAGTGGCCAAGGAAGGGCTCAGTGTGAAGGTGACACCCGAGTTAAGCCTGGATGGAAGTGAGGGTGTGAGCAAGCAGACGTGTTGGGGAAGAGCACTCCAGGCAGGGGGGTTAGCCCGTGCAAAGGCCCTGAGGCAGGAGCCCGCTGGACACAGCCAAGCACGAGCAGGGAGGACGGGGGAGGCTGGCAGAGCCTGTATGAAGTGCTGTGCACGTGATATCCACAGTCCTGTGAGCGAGCCACGGTCAGTCCTGTGTACAGAGGAAGGACAGCATGGTTCAGTCACTAGTCCAAGGCCACACAGCTAGTGAGGAGGGAGAGCCAGGGTTCAACAGAGTTCTTCATGGCTGTGCCTCCAAGTTTTAGTGGCGTCGGCATCAGGGTGCTGTGTCACTGGGGTGACACCAGGGACAGCATTGCTGGACTGTAGGGTCCTGGGGGCATCCATGCTGAGGCAGGGAGGTCCGGGGGAGTCACAAGGAAGTGGCTAGGGCACTGAGGGGCCCAGGGCAGTAGCTACGTACCAGCAGGCCCACACTGTCCTACACTGGGCCAGCCTGGCCCCGAGCTCAGCCCTGATGGTGCCTCCATCCCTGCCCTGTACACAGTGTGCCAAGTGCCGAGAGTCATTCCATGGGAGCCCGCTGGGCGGGCAGCAGTGCTACCGCCTCATCTCGGTGGAGCAGGAGTGCTGCCTGGACCCCACGTCCCAGACCAACTGCTTCCACGAGCCCAAGCGCCGGGCCCTGGGCCCTGGCCGCACCGTCCTCTTTGGTGTGCAGCCCAAGTTCACCAACGTAGACATCCGCCTGACACTGGACGTGACCTTCGGTGCCGTGGACCTCTACGTCTCCACCTCCTATGACACCTTTGTGGTCCGTGTGGCCCCCGACACCGGCGTCCACACCGTACACATCCAGCCACCCCCGCCCCCACCACCCCCACCACCCCCTGCTGATGGTGGACCCCGAGGGGCTGGGGATCCAGGGGGAATGGGGGCCGGCAGTGGACCAGGCACCCCAGCGGAGCCACGGGTGCGGGAGGTGTGGCCGCGTGGCCTGATCACCTACGTGACCGTGACAGAGCCATCGGCAGTGCTGGTGGTACGTGGCGTGCGGGACCGGCTGGTCATCACCTACCCGCATGAGCACCACGCCCTCAAGTCGAGCCGCTTCTACCTGCTCCTGCTGGGCGTGGGAGACCCAGGTGGGCCTGGTGCCAACGGCTCGGCTGACTCGCAGGGCCTGCTCTTCTTCCGGCAAGACCAGGCCCACATCGACCTGTTTGTGTTCTTCTCCGTCTTCTTCTCCTGCTTCTTCCTTTTCCTGTCTCTCTGTGTGCTCCTCTGGAAGGCCAAGCAGGCCCTGGACCAGCGGCAGGAGCAGCGCCGGCACCTGCAGGAGATGACCAAGATGGCTAGCCGCCCCTTCGCCAAGGTGACGGTCTGCTTCCCGCCGGACCCTGCCACCCCAGCCCCTGCCTGGAAGCCGGCTGGACTCCCACCACCTGCCTTCCGCCGCTCGGAGCCCTTCCTGGCGCCTCTGCTGCTGACGGGGGCCGGCGGGCCCTGGGGACCTGTGGGAGGGGGCTGCTGCCCACCAGCTGTGCCCGCCACTACTGCTGGCCTGCGAGCTGGGCCCATAACCCTGGAGCCCACCGAAGATGGCATGGCGGGTGTCGCCACGCTGCTGCTCCAGCTGCCTGGTGGGCCCCACGCACCCAATGGCGCCTGTCTCGGCTCAGCCCTCGTCACGCTGCGGCACAGGCTGCACGAGTACTGCGGAGGTGGTGGGGGCACTGGCGGCAGTGGACACGGAGCTGGCGGAGGCCGGAAGGGACTGTTGAGCCAGGACAACCTCACCAGCATGTCCCTCTGACCCACTGTGAGGGCTCAGCCACAGCAGCCCATTCCCCCCGATAGGGCCGCCCTCGACTTGGGGCCCTTCCACCTGGGGACCCTGAACACTCTCTCCTCAGAGACTTCTGGTTCCCTTCCCCCCGGGGCTTCCCAGACAGGGCCTCTATTGTCCGCATTCAACAATTATTTATTGAACACCTACTCTGTGCCAGGCACTGTTGTAGGTATGGGGCAAAGCAGGAACCGAGCGAGCCAAGGTTCCTGATCTCATGGAACTTAGGTTCTGGTGACAATCAGCACACGCAGAGGCTCAGTTCAGAGAAGGAGAAGTGCTGGGAACAGCAGCGGGAGGTGGGAGTCAGGGGCCACGGGGTTAACATCATTGGCATTCAGAGAAATTAGACTTAAATACTGAGTAGGAACCAGCCCTGAGAAGAGCTGTGGGAATCAGGTTCCTGGCAAGGGGCACAGCAAGGGCGAAGGCCCTGAGGTGGGAACCAGCTTGTTTTATTGGAAGGACCAGAAAGCTGACCGAGTGTGAGGAGGAGATGAGATTGGTGACAGGCAAGGGCTTTGTGGGCCCCAGAACAGGTTGTGGGCTTTATTCTCAGGGCAATGGGAAGCCGTTGGACAGCTTTATGACTAGGAGTGACAGGATCTGATGTACCGTTTAAGAGGGCACTCTGCTTTGGGGTGGAAAGTGGATTGTAGGGGGCAAGGTGGCAGCAGGGGGACAAGTGATGACAGGGAGCCCTATCAGGTGGTGGCAGTGAAGGAGGAGTCAGGAATGGATGCAGGTTATGCGTTGGTGCTACAAAGGCAGGATGCAAGGATGGCATGAATGTTGGCGTGAGGGAGGGGAGGAATCCACATGACCCCTAACTTTGGGGCCTGAACCGTGGATGGATGGTTGGGTTATTGCGATGAGGAACACTGGAGCTTGAGGGGAAGATCAAGAGTCCAGTTTTAGTCAGGAGATGTCCTTTAGACAACGCTTCAGTCAGGTCCAACTAGGCAAACAAACCACTTGGAGTGTTTAAAGAGAAGGAATTGAATGCAAGGGATTGGTACCCACTGGTGAGGGAAGGGGCTGAAGAGAGGTGGGATAGCGAGGCCGCCCAGAGGTGAGCAGGAGCAGGAAGCCGCTGCCGCCATCTCTAGGCTGGAGGGATGAAGTGCAGTGGTGGTAGTATTGCAGCCCAGTGGCCAGGGTCACGCAACGAAACTGAAACAACACGTGCCTGACCAGAGAAGGTGGGAGTCTTAGAGGAGTCAAAGGCAATGCCAGAGATGCTTCCCCAGGCGGGGGTGGGGAGCACCAGGTTGGGGATAGAAATGCTGGAGTCATCCACATCTCTTCTCAGACAGTGCTGCCTCAAAGACTTCTGGCCTCTCCCCAGGGGCTTTCCCCCCACCCCAGCCTCCTCCTTGGACTGCTAAGCTACCCTACCCCTTGAGGACGTTCCTAAAAAAACAAAACCAAAAACCTAACCATCTTGAACTCGGGACTCCTCTTTTCTAAGACTCTATCCCCCAGCTACTTTTGGGGAGCTGGGTCCTGCATCTCCCCTCAGCTGGGGGCCTCACGCCCTGCCCGAGGGGAAGTCTCTCCATGTGTGCTTATCAAAGGCTGGACGGGCTGGCCTGAAGAGGAGGGGAGTGTGGGATCAACAAAGAGTGTGGGGAAGACGGAGATGTCCCAGTCTGGATGGGGGAGAGGGACGCGGGGTGTCTTGTCTCTCTGAGCTGGTGCTGGGGCACTGGGTGAATCTGGATAAAGCCCTTGGCCTGTGCCTTTTCCAAGCTACGCGGCTGGGGCCTGGCTCCTCACTGCCCCTTCAGGGCAGGGGAGGGGATGGCGCCACCACAGAAGCTCCTGTTCCCCAGAAGGGACCAGACAAGGAGAGAGGTGGCACTGAGGCCTTTGACCCTTTTCCCAGGCCCCTGCTGCAGGGAGAGACCCTGTTTCTCTCAGGGAAGACAGTCTGCCTTTGTCCCAGGCACCGGTTGTCAAGGATTACTTTGCCACACATGAATTGTATGAGCTGACTGTAGTCCTCACCTTTAAGACAGGATTGTGAGCTTCCATGTTACAGCTATGGATTCATTTTATCTTTCTAAAAGATGTATAAGTACTGTGTGATCCCCATTTCGCAGATGAGAACAGTTCACAGAGGTATGTAGCTGTTGGGTGACAGCTGCCGCCTGAACCCCGGCTGTTGAACTCTAAAACCCGTGTGCCTGACTATTCTGCCTCCTGAGGGGAAACAGTTGCTGTAGAGCCAGCTCTAACTCATGGCGACTCCGTGTGTGTGAGAGCAGAACTGTGCTCCATAGGGTTTCCCTTCTCATTTTTTACATTTATTTTGTTGTTGAGAATACGCACGGCAGAACATACACCAACTCAACAATTTCTACCTGTACAATCCAGTGACATTGATTACATTCTTCAAGTTGCACAACCATTCTCACCCTCGTTTTTCCAAGTTGTTCCTCCCCAGTTAAACTCACTGCCCCCTAAGTTTCCCATCTAACCTTTCGAGTTGCTGTTGTCAATTTGATCCCATATGGGTAGTTTTTAAAAGAGCACAACGCTGAAGAAAGACATTCTTTACTACTTAAGGTAAACTACTGTTTGGTTTAAAGAGACTTCAGAGGATATTTTTGGTTTAAGGTTTAAAGATAATCTCAGGACAGTAGTTTCAGGGGTTCGTCTAGCCTCCGTGGCTCCAGAAAGTGGATTGCAAGAGAATTTGAAATTTTGTCTGCAATTTTCCCCGTTTGATCAGGATTCTTCTATAGAATCTTGGATCAAAATGTTCAGTAACGGTAGCAAGGCACCATCCAGTTCTGGTCTCATGGCAAAGGAGGCAGTTTTTCATGGAGACAATTAGCCACACATTCCATATCATCCTCCTAGCCCTGACTCTCTTTCCTCTGTTGCCCCAGGCAAATAGAGACCAATTGTTGTGTCTTAAATGGCTATGTGGAAGCTTTTAAGACCTTAGGTACTACGCAATGAACTAAGCAGCAGCACAGAAGTGCTAAACATGTTATTAGGCCAATTAACTGGATGTTCCATGAAACCATGATCCTATACCTCCAAACCAAGAAACCAGCTCCCATGAGGTGTTTGGTCGTACATAAGCAGCCTCCACAGCTGCTTTTTTTGTTGTTATTGTAAATATATCTATTATCCAACGTTTGCCAATTCAACTTTTTACTTATTCCTTAGGGTTTTCAATGGCTGATTTTTTGCAAGTATCAGTAGATGTCAGGTCTTTCTTCTGAGGTGCCTCTGGGTGGACTCAAACCTCCAACCTTTTGGTTAGCAGCCAAGCATGTTAAACATTTGCAGCACCCGGGGACCCCCTCCTGAGGGAGAAGCTCTTTATTTAGCACAAGTCAACTTAAGTAGCTGAGAGCCGTCCCAGCACAGAGCAGACACTAGGGCAGGGTGTCCAGAAATGGTCAATTTCTGCTGGGGCAGGGGGATAAGGCAGAATTACCAACTGGGGAGCAAACCCTTACAAAGATGGAGTCCTGAGGCCAGAAGAGAGCCTATCCTGCTTGACCAGAAAGGAGCTGTGGTTCTTCTTCAGCCCCCTCGTAATGCTGTGACCCTTTGGGGAGGCCTTCTACTAGCAGCCACTCTGCCTTCCCCTACAGAGCATTTGCACCAGGCCTGGACCTTTTCTCTGGGACCCAGAGCCGCCCTCCCTTTGACTCCTGACCTGACCCTGCTCTGCAGATGCTCCTGCACCAATGCCCCCAGAGCACGTGTCCCTCCTTCTTCCATGCAGCCTTTCCGCTGTCACTTCTCTCTGGTATCCACGGAACTGAATGCAAGAGGCTCGTGGGGGTGGGGGTGGAGGTAGAAAGCCTGGGTTCGGGGGGCTAGAGGCCTGAGTTCTAGCCCATGCCTGACTTCTAGCTTGTTCCAGGCCACCGACGCACTGGTGACCTTAGGGAAAGTGGGAGGAGGTTACTGAGGGTCTGCAGAACCTCAGGCACTATCCTGGGTCCTTGGCATGAGTCATTTACTCCCCCCAGCATCATCGCTGGGAGGTATAGCCTCATCTTTCCATTTTACAGATTCAGAAGCTAAGACTAGGGGAGGTGAAGTCTCTTTTCCAGGAACTTGGGGCTAATTAAGAAACGAGCCTGGATTCTGACACCAGCCTGTCTGACTCTCCATTGTTCCACATCACCTCCAAAATCACTTCCCCTCTCTCAGCCAATGTCTCCCCTCTGTGTCAGGAAGAACAACGTCACCTGCAGTCACTCATGCTCTCCACCTATAATGAGCCCCACACTGTTCTAGGTGTGGCGACACAGCAGTGAACAAGGTCCCAGCCCTCAAGGAGCTGAGAAGCTAGTAGGGTGCCCAATAAATGAGTAAACGATGTGGTAGGCTGAAGGTGACAAGAAAAACAAGGCAGTGAAGGCGTGGGAGGGTGGTTCCCGGACGGGGACATCGTGCTTGGTAAAGTAGAGGGTCAGAGAAAAAGAGGAAGACCCTCAACGAGATGGATGGACACAGTGGCTGCAACAGTGGGCTCAAACACAATGATTGTGAGGATGGCGCAGGGCCGGGCAGTGTTTCATTCTGTTGCGCATAGGGTCGCTATGAGTTGGAACCAACTTAACTGCACCTAACAACAAGAACAGGAAGGGAAGGTCTCTCTCATAAGATGACACACGAGCAGAAGTGAAGGAGTGAGCTCTAGGGACACCTGGGAGAAGAACATTTTAAGCCGAGGGAACAGCAAGTGCAAAGATCCTGAGGTGGTAGTGTGTCTAGCATTTTCGAGAAACCGCGAAGAGATCTGTGTGGTTTGAGTGGCGAGTGAGGGGGAAATGGGGAGGAGGCAGTTCTGAAAGGGAACAAGAGGCAGATAGTGCAGGGCCTTGGGCCAAGGTGAGGACTCTGGCTTTTATTCTGTGGGAACAGAACCACGGGAGGGTTCTGAGCAGAGGAGAGCCATAATCTCAGGTGTTCACAGGGTCCCCCTTGCTGCTTGGGGGGAAGAGACTAAGGGGCCAGGGGTAGGGGCGGGGAGCACCCTGAAGAGATCGCTGCATTAGTTCAAGCTGGAGAGGTGGGTGGTTAGACCAGGGTGGGGCCAGTGGGGGAAGGGTGTGTGAAGAAGTGCTGAGATTTTGGATCTATTCTGAAGTTAGAACCAACAGAATTTGCTGACAGATTGGATGTTGAATGAGAGAGAAAGTGACTGAGCCACTGAAGGGAGCGAGCTTGCTCTTTCCTGAGATAGGGAAGATTGTGGGAAGAGCAGGTTTGGGGCCAGTCAGGAGTTAGGTTTTGACATGTTAAACATTTGAGATGCATATTAGATATTTTGAAGTCCCTGGGTGGTACAAATGGTTAAGGTGCTCCTCTACTGTCCAAAACATTGGAGGCTTGAATTCACTCCGAGTCTCCTTGGAAGGAAGGCTTGGTGATCTACTTGCAAAAAAATCAGCCGTTGAAAACCTTACGGAGTACAATTCTACTCTGACACACTTGGGGCTGTCATGAGTTGGAGTCAACTTGACTGCAACTGGTACTGGTATTAGATATTTCAAGTGAAGATGTCACTCGATGGTTGGATACACAGGTCGAGAGACAGAAAGAACAAGAGCAAATAATGCTACTAACTATATATTGTTATAGTCGTTATGTATTATATCATATACAGCAGTAACATTAACGACGGTTTATTGAAGTCACACTTTGACCTTTCCGTCTCTTCCATCGCTTGCTCTCATGTATCCATATGATGTTTCAGGGATTGCTATGCTTACAGAGGAGAAAATGGGCTTAGAAACGGTTATTAATTCCCTAAAATAACACAGCTAGTAAGCGGCAAGGGCCAGGATTGGACCCCAGTCTGTCCAATTCTAAGGCCTGAACACTTTCTAATCTGCTGGTTACTTTTGCGGTAAAGAGGGTGGATTGAAAGAACTACCCTAAAGATCCCTTTCAGCTTCAGGGAGCTTTAAACCTGGCATTTCTCTGCTTTGGAAACAAAGTCCCGAAATCTGTTGCAACTGTGTGTAAGCCAGGAGTTCATAGGTATTGAATGAGCAGGGGGTTCTCCTAAATAAATCATTTGAACTTCAGTGCCTGGACTCTGCCAAGACTCTATCGCTGGCTTTGCTTATTTTCAGGATCCCTGGCAGGGGTCCTGACTGCAGCTGAGGATTAGTGGTTTTACTTTGAGCCCTGGTGGCGCAGTGGTCAAAGCACTTGGCTGCTAATTGAAAGGTCAGTGGTTTGAACCCAGCAGCTGCTCTGTGGGAGAAAGATGTGGCAGTCTGTTTCCGTAAAGATTTACAGCCTTAGAAACCCTGTAAAGCAGTAGCGCTACTCCGTCCTGCAGGTCGCTGTGAGTCAGGATTAACTCATCAGCAACTTGTTCGGTTTTTTTGGTTTAGGGGACAATGCCTGGGTTTACAGAGGAAGAGGACAGTTTAGAGAGGAAGAGAACTCTTCCTTCTTCACCTAGGAATCTTTCCCGTGTCACCAGCTCCTTCTCCAAACCTCCCTCTCCGACTGGATTCTTTTCCTGAGATAAAAAGGATGTAGGCAGACTTGGTTTTCAGGTTTTTATTGTGGGTGTATTTCTGGGTGCAGGCCAGGGGCAGAGGGCAGGCCCTGACAGGAGGGGGCAGTGGAAGCCAGGGGGGACTGGTGGACATGGATGGGGAGGGTGGGCAACATTGTCACTGGCGGATCTTCAGTTCCCTCGCCATCTGGCAGAGGGCGCAGGGCAGACAAAAGTTGAGGGCCGCCCAGTCGTGCCCGATGGAACCCTGTGGGGTGGAAGAGAGAGGTTAGGAGCCCTGCCTTGGGTCCTGGGAGTCTGGCACACAGCCCCTCCTCGATCAGACCCAGGAGTCCAGGCTCCCAGACCACTCCTCCCTCAGACCCAGGAGTTCAGGACCCTAGCCCCCTCCTCCCTCAGACCCAAGAGACCTGGCCCCCAGGCCCCTCCTCCCGCGGGCCTCGGTCCCGCGCGCACCTGGATGTGGTAGCGCTCGCGCATGCCGGTGCGGAGGGAGTTGAGGCCTCCGGGCAGGTAGGGCGTGCAGCAGCACTCGCCGAAGTCGTCGGAGATGCGGCAGGCGAGGCACAGTGGCGCGAAAGTGCCACACAGACCTGGGGCGGGCGAAGGGCGGTGAGGGGCGGGCGCCACCGGGCGCCACCCACCGGCTCCCCCATGGGAAGGGACGAAGTTGAGGGGTCCAAAGAGGAAAGTTGGGCCCCAGGGGGAGTAGTGTTGGAGGAAGAGAAGCAAGGGTCTCTGAGGGAATTAAGGGTCCGGGAGAGCGATTGGAAATAAAGGGTTTGACGGGGATGTTGGGGGTCACACGAGGAAAGTTGAGGGTGCAGGTTCGAGGCGGAGTGGAGTGTTGGAAGTTGTGTTGAGGGTCCGAGGAAAGGGTAAAGGTTCGAGGGTGGGAAATCAGGTTCAGGAAAGGCGGTAGGGAGAATAAGGCTGCGGAAGGAGCTGGAGGGGAGCTCGCCCCACCCCCGGCCCGGAGAGGGAGGCGGCACTCACAGACGGGCATGTCATTGCAGCAGTCCATGAGACCGGTGTGCCAGTCGCTGAGCTGGGTCTGGTAGCAGGTGCTGGTGGCCTGGGGCTGGCTGGTCACAGGGTAGGACATGGCTGTGGGGGCGAGGGGCCAGTGGTCAGCGGGCAGCCTAGCAGCGCCTCCTGGGTCCCGCACCCCTTCCACCCCTCCCTCTGCCGGGCAGTCTGGGCGGGGCCGCCAGGCCGCCCCTTAGAGAACACCACTGCTCCTCCCCCAGTGACACCCCCTCTGTCTCTATTGCTACTGCCTCCTGCGTATTTGGGCTGGGTGGGGGGGCTCCTGCACGTCCGGGGAAGGGTGGGCCCCCGTTCTGGGCGGGGATGGAACGTGCGGCTGCCTCCTCCACGTCTGGGCCTGTGATGCTGGGTTCCCACATTCGGGGACCTCTGAGGTGGAAGCGGATGCCGTCTGTTTTCTGGGCGAGGATGCCCAGGGGAGGGAGGTGGCCAGGTTCCCGGGACTGGGAGGGTTGCTGTTCCATCCAGCGATCCCACCTTTGCCTTTCACCTTGTCGTGCATCTCATACTGCATCTTGTGGGCTCTGAGGAGGTGACGTTGGGGATGGCAGAGGTGGTTGCCGCGATAAATAGCTGCGGAGTCTGTCCAACTGACGCTGGAGACTGGGGGAGAGGAGCGCAAGGGACTAGGGGGCTAGGCGCTGGGCTCTCAGGGGGAGAGAGCTGGGGAGAAAGAGGCCAAGTCAACCTGCAGGCCTGGAGAGACACGGAACAGCGAACGGGGTGGGGGGCGAAAACCTCGCCCGTCTCTTTGCAACTGCCCGACAGACCCAGAGGCCCCTCCACATACCAGAGGCAGGGCTGGAGAGAGAGACCAAGAGACAGAGCCAGGCAGAGCCAGAGACAAGGGGAGAGAGAGGCCAGAGCAGGTACCCGGAGAGATGCCTCTGGTGACACCACAGCGGCACAGCACTGTCCGCTGCGAGCCCATTTCGCAGAGGGAACACTGCGGCTCAGACAGGTGAAGAGAAATGCACCACGTCTGATGGCCCAGGCCGAGAGAATTAGCAGAGGGGTGCCGGGCCCCCAGGACTTCCAAACTCAACTCAGGAGGTATACAGGCAGCATCAAGAAAGACAGAGATGCCCAGAAAAATAGACAATCAGAGATATGAAGGGAGATGAAAAGATGTTAAGAGGGGTAGGATGGAGAGAGAACAGAGCAGAGGCACCTGGCCTCAGAGCAGAGGGCTGCGGGCGGGTGCTCCTACCTGCGGAGCTGCGACGTCGATGATGGTGACAGAGGTGTGGATGACACGGGTACTGAGTTGGCAGTCTCAGGCCAGGAGCTGCTTATATTTAGGCGGGCCACGTGGCCCTGGGCGGGGCTCTGACAGAGATGCCCAGGGAGCCCAGCCGGTCAGGCTGACCCTCTTCCCTCCACAGGAATTTCCCCTCCCTCTCCGTCCCCCATCTTCCCTCCTTCCCCAACTTCCCCTTCCTGCCTCACCTCCTGGGACTGAGGAAATGGTGGCGGGGGGGGGGGGGGCGAGTCCAAGCGTGAGGAAATAAGGGGTAGAAACAGAAACGGGAGTGGGCAGAGATAGAGACAGAGATGGGGAGAGAAAGGGGGGTCGGCTGGGTGAAAGTGCAGAGACTCAAAGATAAGGAGAGATGCAGAGATGAGGGAACGGGAGACATAGAGACAGAGGAGAGACAGAGAAATGGTGAGGGGCGGGGAGAGAGAGATGAGGTGACTCAGAGACAGGGAGAGACATGGTGAAAGAGATGCCAAGAGACAGAGAGGCACAAAGATCTGGGGAGAAATACCAAGAAAGGGGGAGAGAGACCCGGAGGAAAGAGACTCAAAGCTTGAGAGACGGAGAGGCAGGTGGAAGTGGCCACAGCAGAGGCTTAGAGGGAAGGGAAAACAGAGAGAAGGGAAGAGAGGTGGGTGATGCAGGAGAGAGTGGAGGTGTGGGGTACCCCTTTAAGAGCCTCCCCTAGCATATTTAATGATGTCTCCCATTGTCCTGGTAGAGGGGGGCATATGGGAGGCAGTGGGTTTTGGAGGGTGACTCATCCTGGAACCAAAATAAATGAATACACCTCACTCCACCTCTAAATTGGGAAGGGAGGAGGCTGCGAACTGAGAAGCCGTGGTTCCTGAAGGAGGTGAATACAGGCTGGGACTCCTGGGTCTTAACAGAGGAGAGAACTGGGGGCCTCACTCCTGGGTCCTGGGGGAGAGGGGAGTGGAGATGGACTCCTGGTCTGAGGGAGGAGGGTTTGGGGGTCCAGACTCCTGGGTCCTATTAGGGTAGGCTGTATTCCTGCATGGGGTAGGGGCCTGGATTCCAGACTTCTGGGTTCCTGAGGGTAAAGCAGCTGGGGGCTTGGATGCCTACGTCACCCAAGTCTCCCCCTAGACAGGCCTGGCAGGGTTGGAGGTGACTCAGTGAGGGAAGTGGCATTAGAGTTGGGTGGGGTTCTCTGCACGGGTGTCACCTCAAAAATATAGGAGGCACCAGAAAAGTAGGGTGTCACCTGCAAAGAAGATGGCATCGTCACCTCACTGGGTATGGGAATAGGATGATGGCAGGCAGATGACCCTGCTGGCCTGGGATCCCAGCTCCCTTCCAGCGCCCACACACACCAGGACCCAAGCCTTGGTCCCCTGGCACCACCCAAATGGCTCGCTCTCCTTGCCAAAGACCTGTGGGCAATGCCTGGCCTCTTGCCTGTGGTACTACATCTTTGGTCCAGGAGCCTGAATGTCTGAGGGACATCTTCTCCGTATTTCTGTTCTTCTGTCTCTCCATCTCTGGATCTCTGTCTCCCTGTTTCTGCATCTTTGCCCTCCAGCTGTAAATCTCTCTCTCTCTCACTTCATCTCTGCAAATCTGTTTCCAAATCTCTGGATCTCTGTCTCCCCGACTCTCTCCTCCCAATCTTTGTGTCTCTCTGTCTTCATCCTGGGGTCTCGTCTCCTGTCTCAGCATCTCTTCTCATCTCTATCATTCTCGCTCCATCTCCAGGTCTGCCCTGTGGAGGCAACCACAGGGCCCCATCCCCCCAGCCAGCCAGCCTACGGGCTGGGGGTGACTCAGGGTGACTCAGCCAGAGGACCCTAGGGCTCCCAGGATGACAACCTGGGTTGTCCTCATGTTTCTTCTCCCCTTCCTGACACAGCCTAGGGGCCCCAATTAAATGCAGCAACTCATGTAGATGAGGAAATAGGGACTGGGGAAGCTGTGAGGTGGCCTGCTTGAGGTTGTGAGGAGGGCATCAAGAAGGAAGAAGAGAGGGCTGGGGGACTGAAGAATGACTGGCACCTGGCTCCATCCCCCTCAAATAGAGTTGCCAGATAAAATCTAGGACTGCCAGTTGAATTTAAATTTCAGATAAACAACAAGTACTTTTCAGTCTAAGTATGTCCCGGATGGAACCCTGGTGGTGTAGTGCTTAAGAGCTCGGCTAGTAACCCAAAGGTCAGCAGTTCGAATCCATCAGCCGCTGCTTAGAAACCTTATGGGGGCAGTTCTACTCTGTCCTATAGGGTCGCTATGAGTCAGAAACGACTGGAGAGTAATGGGTATGTCCCTAATGCTTATACCAAAAAGGAAGATAGAAGAAGAATTGATGTGTTCAAACTGCAGTGTTGGCAAAGAATATTGAATATATTGTGGACTTCTGGAAGAACAAACAAATCAGTCTTAGAAGAAATACAGCCAGAATGCTCCTTAGCAGCGAGGGTGGTGAGACTTCGGCTCACCTAGTTTGGACACATCATCAGGACAGACCAACCCCTAGAAAAAGATGTCATGTTTGGTAAAGTAGAGGGTCAGTGAAAATGAGCAAAACCCTCAATGCGGTGGAGAGACACAGTGGTCACAACAATGAGCTCAAACATACCAACAATCGTGAAGATGGTGCGGGACCAGGCAAGGTTTTGTTCTGTTGTACATCGGGTCTCCATGAGTCAGAGCTGACCTGATAGGACACTAACAGTATGTCCCAAATATTGTCAGAGACATGCTTATACTAAAAAGTATTCATTGTTTATCTGAAATGCAAATTTAATTGAAAGTCCTGTATTTTTATTTGCTAAATCTGGCAACCCTGCCCTCAAAGGCACAGGAATCCGGACTCCCAGCCCTTTCTTTTCCCAGAACCCAAGAGTCCAGGCCCCCAGCCCTCCCTCCTGAGGATCTGAGAGTCTTGGTCCCTATTGCCTCTTCCCTCAGGCACAGGAATCAAGGCACTAATTCCCTCCTCTCCTCCTCTGGCACCCATGAATCGAGTACCCACCCCTCAGCTCCTTCAGGACTCAGCTCCCAGCCACCTCCTCCCCCAGAACCCAGGCTTCCAGGCCCAGTCTGGGTACAATTGCCCAACATGGGTTTCACAAGGCAGGTGGTGCCATCCATGACCCTGGACGAACCGGTCGGGCAGAGCAGACAAGTGAGGTGGCCTCCATTCCCATCCTAAGCCTGCTGCTTCCTTGAAGGTCAGCCTAGAGGGGCTGGGAGGGAACAGGAGGGACTGAGGGAGATCTGGGTGTGCCACTGTGCCTAGGTTTGGGTGTGTTCTGCTTGTGTGTGTGGTTATGTGACTCGCTAGATGCTGTGCGTCTGTGTGGGGATTGTCAGTTCTCTCTTTGTGTTCTTTTCTGTGTTCTGGAGATCTGAGGGGCGTCTTTTCTATTTTTCTGTCTTTATTGCCCTCCTGTGATTCTCCACACTGTGCACCTTTGTTTGGGTGTGTTCTCAGTTGTGTGTTGTGGGTCTGTTATTCTGATTAGATTAAGGCAGCAATTATTTATCGAGTGATAGCTTGTGTGGTGGTTGAAAGCATGAATGCTGGAGCCAGAAAACCTGGATTCACATCCTGGCATTGCCTCTTACTGGCGGTGAAGCCTTGGGCAAGTCACTGTACTTCTCTGGACCTCAATTTTCCCATCTGCAAAATGGGTGGTTGTTGCAAATAAGGTTGTTGGCACGGTTAAATGACTTAATTCATGTAACGTGCTCAGAATTGTGCCTGGCACATAGGAAGCGTTTTGTTAAGTGCTTATGTTGGTGATGAAGATGTGCTGTTTTGGTTGCTGGGGACATGACAGTGAACAAAATCAAGTCTTTGCTCATGATCCTTCTCATAGGAACTGGATGTATGGCCTATTGATGGTTGGGCATATAATTGCATAACTGGGCTTGTGTCTGTTTTGCCAGTGGACTAGGATATTCCTGTATGTGTTGTAAGTGTGGGTGAGTCGTGATCGTGTGCAGTGGTGTCACTAGGGGGATGCAGGGGGTGCAGACCACACCGGGTAACACTGTCAGGAGGAGTGACACCAAAATAACTATAAAATCTTTGTGCAATGTTTCAGCAGAAATTTATTGTTTTTTATAAAATATCACCGTCGTTAGTTATAACAACAAAAACATTTTTCATAAGCCCAGCTTACATGTATCAACATTACCTACAGGGCTAAAACTCTATGCTAATTTACTTTTTGAACCTCTAATGCGC